GTATTTAAATGTTTCTATCATATCCCCCCTGTCTCGTCTTTCCTCCAAGCTATACATGTTAAGATCCTTTAACCTTTCCTGGTAAGTTTTATCCTGCAATCCATGAACCAGTTTAGTAGCCCTTCTCTGAACCCTCTCTAAGGTATCAATATCCTTCTGAAGATACGGTCTCCAGTACTGTGTACAATACTCCAAGTGAGGTCTCACCAGTGTTCTGTACAATGGCATGAGCACTTCCCTCTTTCTACTGCTAATACCTCTCCCTATACAACCAAGCATTCTGCTATCATTTCCTGCTGCTCTGTTACATTTTCTGCCTACCTTTAAGTCATCAGAAATAATCACCCCTAAATCCCTTTCCTCAGATGTTGAGGTTAGGACTCTATCAAATATTCTGTACTCTGCCCTTGGGTTTTTACGTCCAAGATGCATTATCTTGCACTTATCCACATTAAATGTCAGTTGCCACAATTCTGACCATTTTTCTAGTTTACCTAAATCATTTGCCATTTGGCTTATCCCTCCTGGAACATCAACCCTGTTACATATCTTAGTATCATCAGCAAAAAGACATACCTTACCATCAAGACCTTCTGCAATATCACTAATAAAAATATTAAAGAGAATGGGTCCAAGTACTGATCCCTGAGGTACCCCACTGGTGACAAGCCCAAGCTTCGAATATACTCCATTGACTACAACCCTCTGTTGCATGTCACTCAGCCACTGCATTACCCATTCAACAATATTGGAATCCAAACTTAAAGATTGCAGTTTATTGATAAGCCTTCTGTGTGCAACAGTGTCAAAAGCCTTACTGAAATCTAGGTAAGCAATGTCTACTGCACCACCCTGATCTATAATTTTAGTTACCCAATCAAAAAATCAATAAGATTAGTTTGGCATGATCTCCCTGAAGTAAACCCATGTTGTCTCTGATCTTGAAATCCATGTGTTTTTAGATGTTCAACAATCCTATCCTTTAACATGGTTTCCATCACTTTCCCCACTACTGAATTAAGGCTTACTGGCCTATAGTTGCCCGACTCCTCCCTATTACCTTTCTTGTGAATGGGCACAACATTCGCTAACTTCCAATCTTCTGGGACTACTCCTGTTAACAATGATTGGTTAAATAAATCTGTTAATGGTTTTGCTAGTACACCACTAAGCTCTTTTAATAGCTTTGGGTGTATTCCATCAGGTCCCATTGACTTATTTGTCTTTACTTTTGACAGTTGAAATAGAACCTCTTCCTCTGTAAACTCACAAATGACTCATTTATCCTTTTTGTTAACTGAGGTCCCTTTCCTTCATTTTCATCTGTAAATACCGAACAAAAATATTAATTGAGGCAGTCAGCTAGACCTTTATCCTCTTCTACATACCTTCCTTCTTTTGTTTTTAATCTAACTAATCCTTGTTTTACTTTTCTTTTCTCATTTATGTATCTAAAAAAAGTTTTGTCCCCCTTTTTTACTGACTGTGCTATTTTCTCTTCTGTGTGTGATTTGGAAGCTCTTATAACTTGCTTAGCCTCTTTCTGCCTAATCTTATAGATCATTTTGTCTTCCTCACTCTGTTTTTTTTTTATAATTCCTAAATGCTAACTTTTTGTTTTTAACTATTTTGGCCACATCTGCGGAGTACCACAGTGGTTTCTTGATTTTTTTGCTTTTACTGACAAGCCTAATGCAATTTTCTGTTGCCTTCAGTAGTGCAACTTTTAAATAATCCCATTTCTCTTGGACTCCATTTAAATTGCTCCAGTCTGATAATGACTCCTTTACACATATTCTAATTTTAGAAAAGTCTGTTTTTCTAAAGTCTAAAACTTTTGTTTTTGTGTGGTGTGACTCAGTCACTGTTCTTATTTTAAACCACACTGACTGATGTGATCAGTGGATCCTAAACTTTCACCTACCGTATATACTCGTGTATAAGTCGATCTCATGTATAAGTCGAGTGCAGTTTTGTGACCAACAATTGTGAAATATGCTATGCCTCGTGGATAAGTCGAGGGTAAAACTTGGGGCTATGAAATTCTGTGATTTTTATAATTATATACACACACAATCATACAAACACACACACTGCATTATATATACACACACTCTGCATTATATACACACACTCTGCATTATATATACACACACACTCTGCATTATATATACACACACACTCATACAAACACACACTCTGCATTATATATACACACACTCATACAAACACACATTCTGCATTATATACACACACTCTGCATTATATATACACACACACTCTGCATTATATATACACACACACTCATACAAACACACACTCTGCATTATATATACACACACACTCATACAAACACACACTCTGCACTATATATACACACACACTCATACAAACACACACTCTGCATTATATACACACACACACACTCATACAAACACACTCTGCATTATATACACACACACACTACACAAACACACACTCTGCATTATATACACACACTGTGTATATAATGCAGAGTGTGTATATAATGCAGAGTGTGTGTTTGTGTAGTGTGTGTGAACTAGGTGGGGGAGGGCATTTTTATTATTTTAATTTTTATTTTATTTTAATATTATTTTTTTATTATTTTAATTTTTTTTTTGTCCCCCCTCCCTGCTTGTTAACTGGTCAGGGAGGGGGGCTATCTTAATCCCTGGTGGTCCAGTGGCATGGGCTGTGAAGGGGGGGGGCCGGCAGGAAGCATTTACTTACCTTTCCTGCAGCTCCTGTCAGCTCCCTTCTCCTCCGTTCCGGTCAGCTCCACTGTAAGCGGTCTGGTTGCCGCGCGGATCGTTGCCATGGCTCTGACGGCCGCGGCTCTCTAAGTTGCCATAATACAGACAGTGACTCGAGTATAAGTCGAGTGGGGGTTTTTAAGCACAAAAAATGTGCTGAAAAACTAGACTTATACTCGAGTATATACTGTACATTAATATCTGATACCAAATCTCCATTTGTTAATACTAAATCTAGTATGGCCTCTTTACGAGTTGGCTCCTCAACGACTTGTTTTAGAGACAATCCCATTAGGGAGTTTAGAATATGTGTGCTCCTGGCACAAGCCAAGTCATTTGTCCCTAGATGGACAAGTACATCCAATTCCCCTTCCTGCTTTGCTCGCTTAACAATATTACAGATACGTCTCCTGTCTCTGTGAGCAGTAGCTCCGGGAAGACAACTCACAATATTGTAAAGCGATACGGAATCTGTTGGCGCTATATAAATGGCGATTATAATAATAATAATAATATGAAATATCAAAATGGCTGTCAAGACAAAAAGATCCCTATATTATTTGTGAATCCCTTGAATGTTTGAGATATGACCAGCACATTGTAAAGCAATGGGGAAGATTTATTAAAGTATCTCTGACACTCTTCGTCATATTTATGTCAAATTTTGGCGTCATTTTTCAAATCTGTCGGACTTTTTCACTCTCTACCCATTAAATTTTACTGAAATACATCAACTTAACACCCAAAAAGTGCTAGGTGAAACAACCAAATGAAAATACAACTTAACTTATAAAACAGCTTCCCAAGGTAGTCTTCCCAGATGGATACCACATTATTATTATTATTATTATTATTATGTTCATTTATATAGCGCCATGAAACAATGTATAAAATATGTAGAGAACAAAGGGACAGGGCTGTATAACCTAAAAATGTAAAATTAAAATTACATAGTGTGATACAGTTTAAACATAGAAAATTGACATGCTGATAATTTGAACTCAAAATCTGGAGTATAAAATCGTTTTGAGGGTGCCTCCATCGCTGTTATTGGGGGGCTAAAAGAGCCACTTTCCTCTTGTTGATAATAGGATCCAGGAACCAAAAGAAACAGGAATCAAGGTAAAATATAAAGACATTTATTTGAATTGATAAATAAAAAATAAAATAACACCAAGATAGGACCTGTCCTACACGTTTCATTCTAATTCTAGACCTTCCTCAGGTATCTCTCATAGTAAAAAATACAACCAAATGCAGTGAAAAAATGCCACCTGATTCCCTCTTCCAAAAGTTCTCGTTATATAGGGACCAACCCTCAAGTTCATTGGTAGTGTGGTGAGCGTCTATAGGTGGGATTGCCATTTATAAGTATACCTAAACAGGTTGCTATCTACTAAACTCAGCCTCCTCCCTAATTTGGTTCCCCTGAAATATGGCAATCCTACATAAAGGTACCAAATTAGGGAAGTAATGATTTCTAAATCACAGAAAGATTGCGGCATTCCATTTGTCTGAATAAAATTTCTGAAATGAAAAAAATTGGATGAGGTTTCAATATCATGAAATTAAAGATCAGTGATTTGTCCCCATTACTCAGCGTCTTGTTACATTAACTAAAAAAAGATTTCTAGAAGACAAATGAATCTTTATTTTCATAGTCAGGGCTATTTACTAAAGTGAGTAATTCAAAGTAAATTTCAAATTAGGGCCAGAGTAGATGAACTAAAAAAATAGCTGATTTGGGATTTTTTTTAAGGTCAGCAATTTTTGTCTTACATTTGAAATTCACATTGATTTCACACATTAGTAAATAACCATTGCCATCAGAGAACATCCTTGCCATGAAGGGGTTTATGTGGTCTGCCACAGTCTCTAGAAAAATTATATAAATTGTAGGTATTTTATATATTCTATAACAGGTTATCCTGCTTCACTATTTTTAAAAAATCAGCTATATCCTCCCCCGCCGAGATACAATGGTTTCTTCCTGTTCAGTCATTGCGGACTCTCTCATTTTACTCCAGGGGGGGGGGGAGATTGTTACTTTAGTGCCCTATTTTACTGGGTTACATTTTATTTACGGTCCGTTATATAACAAAGCAGACCTATTATTTAATGAACTAAATATTTAAAGTTGTGTTAGCCCTATCCATTTCACGTTGTGTGTGTGTTGCCCCAAGGAAGACGGGGGTCCCCCCCTCTCCCTGTGTGCAGTGGTCCATTCCGATTTTATAATTCGTGCACATGGCTTCTGTCATGGCATCCAGCTCCAGACCGGTTGGAGAAGCGTTTCCTGTATCTGTGGATTCCGGTAGAGCCATGGGGGAGCGTGTGGTGCCCACCGCCAGGACGCAGTACGTCTGCTCCTTCCAGGACTGCAGCAAGACCTATAACAAGAAATGGAAGCTGGAGCTCCATCTGTGCAAACACACAGGGGAGGTGAGAGGCTGGCTGGGGGTGATGAGCCATGGGGTAACCATGGACTGCTAAACCTGGCCTGTCCTGGGCCATGGGGTAACTGTGGACTGCTAAACCTGTCCTGGGCCACGGGCTAACTGTGGACTGCTAAACCTGTCCTGGGCCACGGGCTAACTGTGGACTGCTAAACCTGTCCTGGGCCACGGGCGAACTGTGGACTGCTAAACCTGTCCTGGGCCACGGGCGAACTGTGGACTGCTAAACCTGGCCTGTCCTGGGCCATGGGGTAACCGTGGGCTGCTAAACCTGTCCTGGGCCACGGGCTAACTGTGGACTGCCAAACCTGTCCTGGGCCACGGGCTAACTGTGGACTGCTAAACCTGTCCTGGGCCACGGGCTAACTGTGGACTGCTAAACCTGTCCTGTTATGAGCCATGGGGTCCTGTGTGAAGAGCCATCCTGGGGCAACGTTCTAAAAGTGGAGCAGTCTCCATGGAAATGAGTAGAATGTTGCTACTCCCTGTTCCACTGTTAGAACCTGGTCCCAGAATCACTCACTGCATGACATCCTGATCCCCTCCGCTTTCAGCCTGCTGAGTGTTATGGGAGTTAAAATCCACAATCCCTATAAGCTGTTTGTTTGAGTAACTCCATAGAGCTAAGTTATTATTCTGTTATCAGCAGGCCCACTGTCATGCAAATACTATCCTTTGCCTGTAACTCCTTCTTTCACTGTCCTAAGTAAATGACTTGTTGCATGGAAGTGGTATTGATTGAGACTGATCTACTGTATTGTTGTTAAATCAGCTTGTCAATCCTTTGAGTAATTATTTTTTAGAATCAGTGAAATCTCCATTACACATGAGAAGGCAATGAAGCTACAATACTCTGCTTATTGTAGGACCTTGCTTGGAGCCTGATGGATGTCTGTTGCCAATGGGTGATACTTGGCTCAACTATATGGAGACATATGTTTGGTACTTGGCCCAGTTGTTCGCCTATTGCTTTTAAAGTATTTCATTTATTTTCAGAGTTATCATATGGAGACCACTATCATGACATTGCAATGCTATAGTAATGTATCTGAAGAGGTGTAAGTTAGGTTTGCAGACTTATATCCTGATTATGAAGAGCTGTTTGTTTTTAGTATCTATAAATTGCCTTTGTTTGATATTTTGAATATGCTAGGTGGGGTAGGCAGACATGTTGAGACATGTCAAAGTCTAAGGATGCAGTGTGTGATCAGTACTGCATGTCTTTTGCATGGTAACTTTTTTTTTGCACCTGTCTGAGCATGTTACGTATAAAACTCTGGTTTTAACAAAATATTTATTCCAGGATTCATAGCTCTAACCGTGTAATGAATGCATATTAAAAGTCCACAAAACAACTAAAAGTGCATTTTAAGGCATCCAGGCCACCTCCACTCAATTAACAGGTTTGGGTGCAGTGGTCCTGTCATTTTAACTATGCATGGTAAAACATTGCAGTTTTTCAAACATTTTAATATTTAACTTGAATGGTTAAACTCTCCCCAAGTGGCTGTCTAACAAACCCCTACGAGAGGTCCTTCTGCTTAAACGACAGAGTAAAACTAAGTCACGTAATTTTACAGCTCCCTAGGAAGCCATTGATTGCTTTCATATGGGACAGCATGGAAGGTTGCGCAGCACTTGATGTGCATGTGCTGTAGGTTCTTCAGTGCTTCTCAGTGAGGAGCAATGGATTGGGACATGCTGGACGTCATGTTCCCTGACATTGCTGGAGTACAAGAGGTAAACAGAGCCAAGGGAGCAAGTGGAGAATGCAGCGTTTTGTGAAGGTTAACTGTGTATGTATAATTCCATGCATTTGGTATTTTATCTTTATTTACATGTTGGGTTTTAGTGCATTGCAACTAGTTCACTATGAATTCTCAATGTTAATCATTTTCTTCTTAGAAACCATTCCGCTGTGACCATGAAGGGTGTGAAAAAGCTTTTGCCTCAAAGTATCACCTGCAAAGACATATGATGACACACACTGGAGAGAAAAATATCAAGTAAGTAGTGTTGTCTGTAAAGCATTCGTAGAATGCTTCTTGGCCCACTGGGTTGATAACATGCATAGACAATGTGCCAGCTTCACTCATGAGCAAAATTTCAGGTACCACCAAAGTGTTGACTTGAATTTTTTTCCTAAAACCTAATCTTTACAAAAAGCTCAAGCCCGGTTTTTTTTTTCCTTAAAAGTCCAACACAATCAAAACCTAAATACACCAAAGTTGGGACCTATTTCTACAAAAGGTGGCAAAAAAATATTCAAATAGGGAATCATGTAGTGTATTTTAAAGTTTCATATGCATGAAATTATGCAAAGAGGTGAACTGGAATTTAACAGCAGTTAAGGCCGTGTCTGATGGGAACGTTTCCCCCACCCAACTGGATGCCACCATGCAAGTGGAAATTGCATCTTTTTTTTTGTCTATGCAAAGACCACACAGGTGTCGTTATTTAACTTTGTAATCCTTTTTCATGTGCTAATGTTGTGGCTTTTTTCTCTTATTGTCAAAATGGTTCACTAAATTTTCTTTTTAAAAGGCAGGTAGCTAACAGCAGTTGGGTCATGACCTATTGGTCTCCTGATTTTCAGGTTCTCATGAAGCTGAACCTAGCTTAGACCATTTAATATCTAGAGCTTAGACACTGTCACAAACATATTCTGGAAAGCTTGCTAGACAATGATTCTGCATGGTATCTCAATACTGTAGTTTGTGTACCGGTATTAGGGAATAACGATTTAGTTAACCAGAAACGGTACATTTAGATTACTCTGGTTTCCAAGTACGTCCTGGGGATATTGCTTTTGCCGAATTCCAGAGTGACTTTTCACAAACAAAGTAATAGGATTTATATACACCTGTGGACACTGGAGCTTAACCCCTTAAGGACACATGACGTGTGACATGTCATGATTCCCTTTTATTCCAGAAGTTTGGTCCTTAAGGGGTTAAAGGACCACTATAGTGCCAGGAAAACATACTAGTTTTTCTGGCACTATAGTGCCCTGAGGGTGCCCCTCCTGCCAGGCTCTAGGGGAGGACGGGGTTAGCCTTTTTCTCCAGCGCTGGGCAGGGAACTCTCCTCCTCCATAGTGATGTCATCGGCTGAATGCGCATGCATGGCAGGAGCCGTGTGCATTCAGCCAGTCCATAGGAAAGCATTCTCAATACTTTCCTATGGACACTGGCGTCTTCTCGCTGTGAAAATCAGCGAGAAGCGCCTCTTGCAGTTGTCAATGAGACAGCCAATAGAGGCTGGATTAACCCTATTATAAACATAACAGTTTCTCTGAAACTGCCTCTTATAGAAGAAAGGGTTAAACCTAGCTGGACTTGGCACCCAGACCACTTCATTAAACTGAAGTGGTCTGGGTGCCTATAGTGGTCCTTTAAATGTGCTTGTGTGAAGTAGGGAAAGTCTAGAAGAGTATTATACAGTCTGGAGTCTTTCAAGTTTCTTTGGCATAAGCAGGGAGCCTTGTTTGTGCTACAATGCTTTCTTGATAGTGTTTTAATTGCTCAAGTGAAATCTGTTTAGTTTTAAACCAGGTTTAATTCCAGCAGTCTTCATGCTGACATCAACAGACTTGAGTTTTTTTTTTTTTTTGTTTAATATTGACTGTTCTTTCTTAGAACTGCTAATGTGCATATTTGTATCTGTAAAAAAGTGTTAAAACATTTGCCATGCATAACATTTCTTAGAAATTAAAATTCTGCTTATTAAAGTGTATCTGCCTTCCAAATATCAAAGAAAAGAGAACTTGTGGCGAAATGGGCTATTAGCATTAACACACTTTTATAAAATTGGTCATTAACTGGTCATAATTTGAACCACACTAAACTATTACACAAAGTAAATGCACAAGCGCTCTCTTCCCCTCTCGTAAGGTTTATTTATAGTTAAAATCTAAATACCTCTATCTGTTTCAGGTGTGATTCAGAAGACTGTAACATAATGTTCAATTCGAAGGCCAACATGAAGAAGCACTTTAATCGAGCCCATGTATACACAGACCAAGTCTACGAGGTAAATCTTGTGAATGAGTTAATTTCAGACAGCCTAATATAAAAAACACAGGCTGAGGGAGTTGGGTTTCCATGGTTTTGGTCATGGGGTTCAATCTTCTCACGTATATTGCTTATAGTGTCTGCTTTCAAAAAAAGCATAGAGGTATATAAAAACTACTCAAAGTACTGTAACCACTACAACACTGTAGGCATTAATTTTAAAACGCAATAGCGTTAAAACCTGTCTAAGTTAATACACATACTTGATTGGTATTGTTTAAGGATGTTCTGAGTTGACTAACTCTGAATTTTGTCTTATCCAGTGTGACTTCCCAGATTGTGGCCTTAAGTTCAAGAAACATAATAAACTGAGAATGCATCAGTGCATACATACAAATGAGCTGCCTTTCAAGTAAGCAAAAATCTAATCCCTTTATTACTGGTTTATTTTTTATTTTGAGTGCTACATTAACCCCTTAAGGACCAAACTTCTGGAATAAAAGGGATTCATGACATGTCACATGTCATTTGTCCTTAAGGGGTTAAAGGACCATACCATTCCATCTCACTGGAGTCCCTAGTCAATGTTAAAGGAACACTACAGTCACCTAAATAAAGCAGTTTTAGTGTATAGATCATTCCCCTGCAATTTCACTGCTCAATTCACTGTCATTTAGGAGTTAAATCACTTTGTTTCAGTTTATGCAGCCCTAGCCACACCTCCCCTGGCTATGATTGACAGAGCCTGCATGAAAAAAACTGGTTTCACTTTCAAACAGATGTAATTTACCTTAAATAATTGTATCTCAATCTCTAAATTGAACTTTATTCACATACAGGAGGCTCTTGCAGGGTCTAGCAAGCTATTAACATAGCAGGGGATAAGAAAATCTTAATTAAACAGAACTTGCAATAAAAGCCAAGTCACATGCAGGGAGGTGTGACTAGGGTTCATAAACAAAGGGATTTAACTCCTAAATGGCAGATGATTGAGCAGTGAGGCTGCAGGGGCATGTTCCATACACCAAAACTGCTTCATTAAGCTAAAGTTGTTCAGGTGACTATAGTGTCCCTTTAAACAGATTTTTTTTTTTTAATGATGTAACAGTAACTTTAGTGTCACCAGCAATCTCAAAGCCTGGCTTCTTATGATGGAATGGCTAAGGCAGTTATGCTAGTCTAGATTATACCAGAAATGGTAGTGGTAAACTGTGAGCATAATCTAATATCTTGGTATCACTGCCTACAATACGACATCCTTGGATGGTTTCTTTGAGCAGGCATGCACTCCTATGGAAGTTCGTGTTAGGTGCGTTGCATATACACCATGCAGCATCAATTGCACACAATGTTTACTTCTACTGCTCTGTTCACTCTATGTAAAAGTTCTAATAGCATTTTTTTAGGCTGTGGAAACCATCCCTTTCAGACAAGTGGCATTCCTCTAATATCTTACCATTTTCTAGACATTTTAGGAGAACCTGAAACGCAATTTAGAATTCTATCAAGACTTTTTATGTCTACCATGACAAAGCACTGACCAAAGAGCATTTTTCTGTACGTGTTTGATATTCTAAATACTTCTCTACTCCTAGGTGCACTTTTGACGGATGCAATAAATGCTACGCTTCGCCTTCCCGACTAAAACGTCATGCAAAAGTCCATGCAGGTATTTTCCTGATCAACTCTTAATAAAAAGTCTAGCACTGTTTAACCCCTTAAAACCGGAGGGCGTACTATTACGCCCTATTCTAAGCGGCTTTAAATGCCGCAGGGCGTAATAGTACGCCCTCCAGTTTTTCTTACTTACTCGGTTGCCGGCGGTTGGGGAGACTCACCTGGGATCATAGAGAGTCCCCCTCGGCGGATCCTGCTGCCTCCTCTGGCTCCGCCCGGCCATGTGAGAGTGAGGTCCTCACAATCACATGGCCGGGTTAGGTGGCTGCTGCATTGCCAGCAGGGGGACTGCCTGTAATGAGTTAGTCCCCCTGCTGTCTAGGTGTATTTTACTATTGATATAGATATATCAAAACATAAATATGTAAATACGTTAAAATAAAATTAAAAAAATTTAAAATTTAAAAATATATAGATGTGTTTGTGCTAACTGTATTGTGATATTAATATATATATCAAAATACATGTAGAACAAAATATATCTATATATAAAAATATTTTAAAAAAATATCCATCTATATACATATATCTATATACATATATTAATTCTACATATATTTATGTAATATTTTAACATAATTAGGTATTTTTAATTGATTACAATTAGCAGGACCTGCCTGACAACCCATGCCGAAAGTATGGCGAATTTAATTTGCTAGCACTATATTTAACCCTATAACTTTCCAAGACACCATAAAACCTGTACATGGGGGGTACTGTTTTACTCTGGAGACTTCGCTGAACTCAAATATTAGTGCTTTAAAACAGTAAAATGTATTACAACGATATCGCCAGTAAGTGACGTTTTTTGCATTTTTCACACACAAACAGCACTTACAGACGATATTATTGCTGTGATACTTCTTACTGTTTTGAAACACATACTTGCGTTCAGCAAAGTCTCCTGAGTACAACAGTAACCCTCATGTACAGGTTTTATGATGTCTTCAAAAGTTACAGCATCAAATATGGCTTGTTTAATTTTGTTTCACACTAAAATTCGCCAGATTGGTTATGTTGCCTTTGAGACCCTATGGTAGGCCAAGAATGAAAATTTACCCTTATGATGGCATACCATTTGTAATAGCAGAGAACCCAAGGTATTGCAAATGGGGTATGTCCAGTCTTTTTTAGTAGCCACTTAGTCAAAACACTGGCCAAAATTGGCGTTTTTTTTACTATGAAAGAGGTGAATTACGGTTGGACAGACATGTAGCACAAATGCCAGGTTTTGTTTTGTTCACAACGTGTACATTTGGCGCAGTCCTTTAGGGGTTAGTGGGTCTGAGTGCAAGCAAATCCCTCCATATCCAGGAAGACTCGTATCCCATAACTACCTGTCTGCATATATTCTGCAGAAATTTGCACTGGTGTAGAGAACATGATAGACATTTCCTAATGCCAAAATACTGCGACGTTCAATGACTTTTGTTGATGCCTACAGTTGGAGTGCTTAAGAGTTTGTTTTTTTTTGTTTGAGAGACCATGTCTGGGGGCAAGCTCTCAGAGCTGTACAGCACAGACACTTTGCACAGATGGATAAACTTCTACTCTTGTGAAACACAGTAACAGTTGGACTTTTTTGTACTGTTAAACTTTTCTGGGCATGCTAGATGAATTTGCTTGCCTTTCTTGTATCCCATATGCATTTGCATGTAATTATTAATGTTCACTTAAGCAACAAAGATTGAGTCAAGCTTCAACAGTACAGTGTTGATTTACTACAATGGATGACTTTGTTCGACCCTATTTGTAAAACCAAAAATAAGCTAAACTCACATCTCTTCAAATGGTGTCCTTCTCTAAACATGGCTGCCTCTCTTCTTTGGCGATAATCTCAGGGCAACCCAATGCTTCTCCATAGAGCAATCTTGTAGAGCTAATGTGCTTGACAGCAATTGTTGATGTAGCCAATCAGATTCTCCAGAGAATTTTTGCAATGCTTCTGAGTAAATTTAGTTCAGTGTTACACCATCAAAAATTTAAATCTCCTTTAGTGTCTGACAGCTGCTACAGGCATTTTCAATGACCGATGTAAACATTGTCATTTATGTAGGTTTGTAAGGTTTGAGGATGCTTCCCATGGACAGGACAGTTCTCCAATGACACTAGTGTGCTGGCATTGGCAATATTCGTATGTTCTGAGTGATTATTGTGATTCCATTCCTATATTTGCCCAGCTTCTGTCCTTAGAGGAATAAGAGGGGACTTGCTAAAATTTTTATATCTGAGAATGCCAAGCTTCAGGAACATTTTCTATTAATCAAAATCAGTCTACCATTATAGAGAACCTATACTAGCTGAATATCTAACTGCTCTTAGCCAGTAGAACAGTCCAGATCAAGACACCGGCAAGTCTCATCTTCATGAGATAAAGCAATAGCACCGCATTTTGGCCTTTGTCTGTATGATGGATACCTCTGTGAGCAAATAGACCAAACGTGATAATGAAAATGAAGACTGTGAATGAGCAATATACATGAGAACTTAACAGGCAAAAATCTGTAACTATGCCTGGTTACGTTTGCAAATGGAATAGACCAGGCTCAAAATTTAAAGATCTACGTTACTAGACCAGAATAAATCACCTGGCACTGGAGGGGCCATGGCACACATTGGAGTGGAACATCTCTGCCATGGCAAAATTTTAGCCAAATGTTTCCTGTATCTTTCATGTGGGGGTACTTGCTGGCATGTTGAATCTGCACTGTTCTGGTTTGGGTTAGTCGAGAATTGGCTTATCTTTATGACACACAAGCTAGAACTTCAGTGGAGGCTAACCAAAGGGGCAAACTATTTTCCTCATTTCAATCTGTTCTCGGTTTCTGCTTTTGAATAACCACACCAACTACAGGGCAATTGTTGTAGTTGCTGTGACTGAACAGGTAGAGCACCTGGAGGAGGGATTCTCTTGCTCTCCTGTCAGTCTTCTGTATGTGCAAAAGTTTGAAGTTGCTCTGTTTGCATAGACCCATTTAAAATTGGCTCAGTGTTCTGCCAACAGTATGTGAATATCCATGGCTCAGGCTCTGAAAGCTGACAAGATAGGACACATTTCTGCATTTTGAGCAATACTTGTAGCTACTCGTATTTCTGAAAATCTATGCACGATCTTGAGCCTTTCATAGGCCTTTGTTTTGTCCTACCTGCAAGAATTTAAAGTAGCAATGAACCAGAAGATGGAGACACTTGAAGAGCTTCAGGTAACTATATATTACTTCCCCCTGATCCCATGTAAGTTGACATGTCATAGTGGATATAAGTGATGGTTGAGCTTTGGATTTAGAACCAGGTTTTGGAATATGTGCAGCAGGTAGACTATGGTCTTAAAGTATTTTTGTGAAACTGTTGTAGGATCTAAATTATAATTTTTTTATTTTTTTAATAGGATACAAGTGCAAAAAGGATGAAACTTGTGAATTTGTTGGGAAGACCTGGTCGGATTACATAAAGCATGTATCTGACTGCCATACTGGTAAGAACTTGTTATTAAAGGAATATTTTAACTTAATTATAAGAGAACTCTCAATGTTTTAGTCTTTTTGTCAGCTAGCTTGCCATTTCATTGGACTGCTGACTATAGATAAACTAGTTACATTTCGGGAGAATGCAAAGAATTCGGGAGGTGCCCGGTCCACCTAGGTTACTCAAGGAAATGGGGAAAACACCTGCTATTTAACACCTTGACCTGCCCAAGAATGGGAGCCACTATTGGATTCCCCAATATTTCACACCGCTTTTAGCATGTTTTTTCCAACACTACCGTTTGATGCTTGGAATAGTATGTTACTGAAATTCCGCAGTCTGCCCCAAAGGGCATCCAAGCAAATACAGCTGTTAAAAAATAAAAAAAAAATCTATTGCTTTAAATGGCTTAGCAATTAGGCTTTCATAAATGTACATGTAAAATAAATGGCCAAACATTTCATTTGCAGAACTTTTTTTTTTCTTCAACTTCTGTTCAATCTTTCTTATGCATTCTGAAAAAGTAGCACTTTGTTTCACCCCTCTATTGGTATGCAGTACTTTTATATATGGGCATCTAGCCACCTCTTCACAGGACAGAGCACATAATTCCAAGAATTCAAGACCTCTGGTTCCATTCCCTATGGTATAAAACTTCTCAACACGTGAGCCCCAGTTTTTCTGCGACCCATGTATTTTGCTCTGAATATGCCTGGAGGGTTGCCTCTTCAGCGCTTAGCCCTTCGGGTCCAGGAAAGCAAGAGGCTTGTAAAAAGCCATTACAAAATCCAAACTGCTTATTTGTGCAGGATGTTGGCAACCACTCCCTGATGGTTATAAGAATTAACCCTTGTGCTACAGATTTTTTAAACAAACTTTCCTTGTCCTGTAGTCGGCAGCCTTACAGCCAGTTCAGCATTCCTTGCCTTCTATCTCAAACCTGGTCCAAGAGTACAGGAAAGAGATGGACTCTTAATCTGGAGTGGAATTATTTTCAGTTGTATTGTACATGCTGCCCTCCCTTAAAGAGACACTAGTCACCAGAACCACTACAGCATAATACAGTAGTTCTGGTGTCTAGTCTGTCTTTCAGGGGAAAAAAGCAGTGTATACATTAATGGCTAGTTAAATTTCTAGTGGCAGTCACTCACTATAGGTGATTCCTAGTTCAGTGCTGCCGTGTGAAACACTGACATTCAGCTTCTCCACCCTTTAAATGTTCCCTGTATAGATGCATTGATTTAATGCATCTCTATGAGAAGATGCTGTTTGCAGTGTTTTGCCAAGAATGTGCCCTATGGGAATGCATTGTATTGGCTGAGATCATAAAGACTGATCTCTGCCATGCAAGTGGGACCAGCTGTGTTAAAATAAACTTTTCAGTGTGATTAGTGGGGCTGGTAATCTAAACCAGTGTTCCCAACCCAGTCCTCATGGACCACCAACAGTCCAGGATTTATGAATTTCCCTGTTTTATTGCAATGGAAATACTGACAACATGGACTATTGGTGGTCCATGAGGACTGGGTTGGGGAACACTGATCTAAGCAACATGGCACTATTGTGTTAGGAATACATGTTTGTATTCCTGATACTAGTTTTCCTTTTTAAATATTTGCATTAACTTGGCGTGCTTTGTATTGCTTAGGCTCATGTGCAGAGAAGCAGTTCTATACCATAAATGGTGTGAACCAGAGGAAGTCCTTAATTTTTTATTAAGATGTTGGATTCTGTGATATGCCTGTCCTGTGAGATAGGGGCTAGATCCCCTCCATTTGTGAATACTGTCTCTAATCTTGAGGAAAAAATAATTTAAGTAAAATTTATCACACCTAAAAGGCAGATTATGCAAATAACCAACTTTAAAATATTGACAGCCCTCAAGCTCCACCAACTGAGACGCTAGCCCTTGCAGAAAGTTTAAAGCAGTGGAATCGCTATTGAGTATCTGTTGCACCTGATATTGGGCTACTGGTTAGGATTTATGGTTAGAAATTTAAAGTGTAAATAAGTGTTCTTATATCGGAGAGGTTGGTAATGTCTTGTATGATAAACGCATAAGTTTTTTTTCCAACTTTCAGAACCACTAATCTGTGATGTGTGTAACAAAAAGTTTAAGAAAAAATGGTTCCTGAATGACCACAAGGTAACTCATGACAAGGAACGGAAAGTCTATTGCTGTCCCAGAGATGGCTGTGACCGGACCTATACTACTAGATTCAATCTCCGAAATCATATCCTTTCATTCCATGAGGAAAAGAGGTCTTTTGTTTGTGAGCATCCTGGCTGTGAAAAAACATTTGTAATGAAAGTAAGTTTGCGGTTATCCCCCCACCTTCACCTTTAATAATCAAAGCAGACAACCTGTATTAATTACAAACTAAGGAAAGGTTTCAGTGCAGTCTGGACTGTGCCTTTTTTACATCTCTGGTTGTCAAGATTCTCCTCTTCAATTTCCAATAGCAAGGGCTGTCTGTTTTAATGTAGTGCAGCCATATTAAAGTAAATCTTCCATAGGTCATAATTTTTTTTCAATTTTTTTTAACAGCAAAGTCTGGAAAGACATGAGGTTGTCCATGACCCAGAGAAGAGAAAACTTAAGGTTTGTTTTTTCCTTTCTCCTACATTCACTCGGTGTTTACATGGCTTTCTTTACATTGGATAAGTATGGATATCTTTGTGTAAGAGTAACACTGTACAAGTTAGTAGGCAGGGCAGGCCAAACACTAAACTTAAAATTACTTACAGGCCTATTCACTAAACACCGGATTTTGTCCAAATAGAATCCAGTGAAAATGAGCATATTCCAAGCACATTGGTAACTTTCTGACTTGCTAAAAGCCAATTGCCGTAAGGATTCAGTTGGTCCAACTGATTCTGTAACATTGATTCGGAAAATAAGATTTTCGCATTCGAACAAATTAACAGGACTGGAATCAGAAACGTATCGCCAAACGCAAGGCAGCCAAGCATAACTTGGAAACATGCAGTGCATGAAACAAGCACTGGTTTGTCACTCACTTCCTCTTTGCAGGAGAATTGATCATTTTAAAGTGTGATTTTCCCACTAGCAGCCAGCAGTGAAATGGTGGAAAAACTCTCAGCGCTGCCAGGGTTAATTTATATGACAGCTAGAAAGCAAGCACTTGCAGCCAACCACTACATTAAAAAAACACAATACAAATATTCTGTGGGGGTCAATAAGAGGTAGTCATATAGCAGGTGGGGGCACATCTGTGCCAAACATTTAATACTAATGACTCTAGTGGCTAAGAAAGACCCTCTGGGAATGGAGCCTGTGAAATAATGGTGAGAGCAAACTGCCACCACGATGGGGCATCAGGACGAGAATATTTTAAGGAGGTTGCAGTGTCCCCTCCACTGGTCCCACCTATGCTTTGGACCCTAATTTTAACAAGGTAGGAAGGCTATTGTACCCTGCCACACCTATGCCTGTGGCTGTGTTAATTGTAAAATGGGGGAATGGACATGTTAGTTTCAACCCACCCAATCCCCCAGCCACCTCCTAAAATAAGTCCCTACAAGTAGTCAACAAATCTAAAATCTGTGGGGGGAAGAAAACAAAAACTAAATTACTTGGCATAAGAAGTCGTCTTTCATCTAATAGTTATGTTCTTCAGCCTCCCAAAAAGCCCTCCTTGTGGGGTATGCCATCTTGTAGGTTTCCCACACTATGACTGGCATCACAAAGCATGGGAAAATTTCTCACTTTGTAACATGACTAGGAGCACTCCAATTGGTTGGTTTACTAGCCAATCAGTGTTGCAGAATGTTTACATTAGAATGCTATAGCTTTTGTCATGAATTAGTCACTCCTTGATAACAAAGTTGATGTAGAATGTCTCTTACTTTCAGCTCTGTGTGGCTTAGAACTGCAGCAATTTTAAATATCATAGCTGTCAGGCAATCTGAAGGCTTGGTTCCAATTCCCTGATTTCTGTTATGTGCAGGTTGTGATGTAAGCACATGTGTTAAGCCTTAGGCCATGGCTCTGGTAATCAGTAGTTATCAAGGGTCATAAATCGTGAACCATTCTATAAATATATAGCTATTCACCCCAAGCTCCATGCTTATTGAGGCATTATTGGGCAAGCACTGATCCTATAGAGCAGAATGAAACGCTTCAATTTGGGGTCTCTCTGATGTGGGAGGAGTCTGCATGCAGGAAGACCTTTTAAACAATGTCTGTAACGCTTTAAGAAATATGGGGTCATTCCCCCCCTTAGTTTTCTTTAACTTTTGTTTGTGATTCTTTTATATCGAATTTTTTTTTTTTTATGTTAAAGGAAAGAAAACCACGTCCTAAAAGAAGTCTTGCGTCTCGCCTGTCTGGATACAAGCCTCCAAAAACTACCAACCCTCCCGAAAAGTCACACTCTGAAATGGTACCGGAAAACCCGCCCCCGATTAATGAAATTAATCATGGCCAGCTTGAACAGCTCACCCTTAAATAACCATGGAATTCCTTATTTTGCTATCTATGTAAAAGCAGTCTTATTTTATGTTAAAATAACCAAAGTTTTGGGTAACCTAATTTTCTAAGGTTTTTTCTTAATGTATGACTTTACTTCTGAGGTCAGACTTTCTACTATTGAGAGTTGTCAAAATGTTTTACTTTAGTGTTTTTTGTTTTTTTGACTTTGAAGGATTAACATGGTATCATTGGCATAAAAAGGCATCTCTTCCAGTTAGTGATTGTTTTGCAACACAAGCATCTGATTTTTCCTGTACATTAAAGTCCAGAATGTTTCAGGGAACACCTCCATTGTATGTCATTTTCATTTTCCAAAACATTGCTTCACAAGGATGTAAATGTGCAAAATTTACATGTGGAAAGACATCTGAAGATATCTGCCTACATCATGATTGTACAGTGATTTCTACGATTGTAATGTTTAAGTCAACGCACTTAAAGGGACTCTATAGTCACCAGTGCACCTACATGTATTCCTAACCCTATAATGTTAACACGACCATCTAGCCCCTCATGCCTCCATAAATATAGTAAAAATCTTACTGTATTCAAGCCAGAAGCTGTGACTCTGCATGATGAGACTCAGGAAAAACAGTCTGCTGACATGTGATAGCCTGATCCAATCACAATGCTTCCCCACAGGATTGGCTGAGACTGACAAAGAGGCAGATCAGGGGCAGAGCCAGCATGATTCAAACACAGCCCTGGCCAATCAGCATCTCCTCATAGCGATGAACTGAATCAATGAATCTCTGAGTAAAGTTCAATGTCTGCATGGAGAGGGAGATACTGAATCACAGGATGCTCTTGCACAGCAGATCTGAGTGGATGGAGGCAGATTATGCCTCCAACTCAGCAGTCCCTCTGGTTCACTCTGAGTGACTGCAACTGGAGGTGTTCCTAGCTTTCAATGTAAACACTGTATTTTCTCAAAATACAGTGTTTACATGAGAGGCTGCAGGAAACTATAGTTCTCACCTGGAAAACTTCATTAAGCTGAAGTTGTTGTTCAGGTGACTAGTGTCGTGTTTTTTTTTTTAATATAAACATACTGGTCCCATAAGCTTCTACAAATTGTAGACCGTACTAGTATGTCTGCTATATTGACCAATGCTTCTGTTTTACTTTTTCTCTTTTTTTTTTTTTCTTTTTAACCCACATATGCTTTTTTTTTTTCTTTATCTTAGATTTAAAACAATTTATAAAAGCCTATAGTACACATTCCTTTGAATACAATTAGTTCCCCTAGCAGTACGTGCAAAATCTGTAATGGGGGGGCCTACCAAATGGAGGATTCATCTAGTAGCCCATGCACTTAGGGCCACCTGATGGACAGAGGCTGTGGTACTTTAAACAGTGTGACCCATCCCCTTTAATGATAACTGTGCTTGGAGGAAATTAGATTCTGTGACTTTTTCCCAGCTGACTAGCATCATGCATGAGCAATTGGAGGAGGCAGACCAGCCCTTAACTTCCAACAGCCTGTGCCTAAAGAAGCTACCTGCATCCAAAAGTTAGGAAACTGGAGTGTGGCTGAACTTTTTACCTGTCTGTATCTGCATGTGGCAAGGGCTCTGCCACATGAGCAGATGCACAAATGGTGTGTGTTTACACTGTATATACGAGTATACCTGGGCCAGTGGAGCCTACAGCAGAGAAAAAGGAGATGGGGAAGAGCAAAAATATAGTTGAAATAACAGCAACTGTATTCATTACAGGCATAAATTGCTTCCTAAGTCTATAAAAATTGATGTCCAAAGTTTCAATGTGATTTGAAAACACAAACTGGATATTGCATATTTTGCAGGTATCTTTTCAGAAGCTTTTTGCTAGCCCTTTCTTTCTAACACTGCCCAGACTTTCTGTGGCTGTCCAATGTAGCTCAATGAGAAGTCTTTGCAAGGCAGGTGCTCTGAGCAATTGATGCCTCTTGTGTTTAGTTCCACTGCGAATCATCTAGGAAGTAACAGGACCAGTTGTCTGGCAGTCAGGAGCGTGTTACAAGGTTAATTTATAAAAGTGCCAATTTCTATCAATGTGAACTTTTTGTAAAAATAAGGCAAATCTGCTTAACCTTGATTAGTGTTTGGCAGAGCCAGCATGCTGGATCTTTTGCATTATAGGGAGATCTCCCTGTCCTGCTCTATAAAAAAAAAAAAAAAATGTATATATGGCAATTGTTACTTTTGTAAGCTTTTAAAAAAAAAAAAAAATTCACTTTGCTGATGGTGGCAGGGGGAAACCGGGTTAATATTAGGACCAGCAATAAAGTTCCTCTTCTGAAATCATCAGGAGCCATCTTAACAGTATTAGGGTGCGGGTTGATACTTGGCAGAGGTGTATATATAAGGGATTATTGTTGTACTCACAAAATGTTGCAGGGAATCTTGTTACAGTGGCACACATGAGAAAACCAAATACAAGTTGTATATAAAATTTTCCTTGCAAACTTTGAGGGGGAAAAGTGCACCTCACAAAAGTTCAAAATATATTGTGCATGACTACATTTGCAAATGGTATGCCTTAATTATGTAATTTAAAGGTTCTACTAAAATGCCTCAAAGTGCAACACAGATTCATCTTTAATTTTTTTTTTTTTTTTTTGTGTAATTCAGCCCTGTATTTTCACACAAACTTGACTGGTTGGATGGAAAGGTGGTTATTCTGTACTCGAGATATAGTAGAGCACAATTTAGTGATTTTCAAAAATTATTACTGCAGCACACAGTACAAAATAAATAGCTAGATTGCAATGTGCATGTGAAAAAAAAAATCAAAAACAAAGTATGATTGGGCCCATCAAATCAATCTGGCAAAATTCGAACGGTAAAAATTGGAATAGGTCTCTTGCACCTCTCTTTAGTTTAGTGGTAACAGCATACATTGGGGGTATTTTTTTTATTTTTTTACTCGGCTTGCGGATCATAATTTGGGTGGGATTTATCATAGTGGCACATAATGAGATTTGGAAAATGCCCAGCAAAGATGTAATGTGTGTATAAATAATATATATATATATATTTATTTATTTATTTTTTTGCTGCAATCTAATGAAAACATTTATGGAATGTAGTCCAGAATTCACCATACGACATACCCCGTGGTGTGTACTTTCACAAAGGGTAGGCCTTTGTGGTGTAATTTGAACAGCCAGGCCCAATAAATCCATCTTTCAAAATTCTACTGTAAAAGCTGTAAGGACTCCTCCTATATGGCACTGTTGCAACACAGGATAGTTGCAAAGGCATACATTGTGGATATAGCTTTATTCAGAAGATATAACTAAATCCAATATTGAGTTTTGTGTAAGAATAGCACACAGGTTGTATATATATATATATATATATATATATATATATATAAAAAAAGTAAGAAGGGAAAAAATGCAATCATTTTTATATATATATATATATTTTATTATACTTATTGTGGATCAGCACTGCTCAGCTCAGACAAAGTTTCCATATCCTGAAGCAGGCCCAGATTGGCCATCGGGCACACAGAGCAAATGCCCGATGGGCCGAGGCCGGCAGCGAGATCACAGGATCTCCCCTGCCGGTCTTTGCAGGGCCGGCACTATCCAAGCGCCGGCCCTGCAGTAGTCCACAGTATACTGCGGCCGGCAGGGAGAGAGGGAGAGAGACAGCCAGAAGAGGAACCCGGAGGAGCTCTAACTTACAGCACCCTGACACTCACAGCACCCTCACTCTCACACACACTGAATCCCTGACACTCACAGCACCCCCCCCCACACACACACACACACACAAACTGCACCCTTGACATTCACAGCACCCTCACACACACACACACACACACACACACACACTGCACCCCTGACACTCACAGCACCCTCACACACACACTGCACACACTCACACACACACACACTGCACCCCTGACACTCACAGCACCCTCACACACACACACACTGCACCCATGACACACAGCACCCTCACTCACACACACACACTGCACCCCTGACACTCACAGCACCCTCACTCACACACACTGCACCCCTGACAGTCACAGCACCCCACACACACAGACACTGCACCCCTGACACAGCACCCTCACTCACACACTGACCCCTGACACAGTACCCTCACTCACACACATACTGCACCCCTGACATTCACAGCACACACACTACACCCCTCACACACATACTGCACCCCTGACATTCACAGCACACACACACACACTACACCCCTCACACACACACTGCACCCCTCTCGCACACTGCACCCTCACACACACACACTGCACAATATGCTTTCCTAGCATTTTTGTCTCCCGGTATCCCATCTATGGAGACACCAGAGACAAATTTCAAGCAAACACAGAGCATGTTATAAAATTTTCTTGTGCTGCGCAGAACAAATACAGGGCCTTTTTCTCATGTTAGAGCTCTTCAGCAGAGCTCTGCGCATGGTCTACCCCGAAAGAGCATTGAACCAACATGCTCACTTTGTGATGGCACGTGCTTGTCATTGGTGATGACAAAACACACCATCTCTGCCCCGCCCCCTTCTTAGCGGGCCCCTGTAATTAAAAAAATGCCCGGGCCGAATTTTCTTCCCAGTCCGGCCCTGCCCTGGAGTGCAGGTACCCTTTCCGAGGAAAGTGCACTCACAAGATTCAGTAGATGAATATCTTCAAACTTTTATTGTGCAGTTTAGTAAACCAAGATAGTGTCAACGTTTCAGTCCACAGTGGACTGAAGCGTTGACACTATCTTGGTTTACTAAACTGCACAATAAAAGTTTGAAAATTCATCTACTGAGTCCTGTAAGTGCAATTTCCTCTGATTATATATTTTGGCTGAAGTAAGCACCCAGGCAAACACAAGACCGTGAGAGTGAGTGCTGGACCCAAATGTTAAAGACACATTTAGTGTTAAAATGTTGAATTTTCACAATTGATGGTGCAATAAACCACCATAACATGAAATTGCTGAGTCCTGAGGATTATTTCATTTGGGTATATAAATCTATACATTTGTGTGGTATTGTTTTCTATGAGTGCTATTAAACTTAGAAGTCAAACATACCAAATTTTAAAATCCTTCCACATTGAAACTTCACTTCCTGTAGTTTATTACCTGTAACTCTTAACCCCTTGAGGACCAAACTTCTGGAATAAAAGGGAATTATGACATGTCACACGTCATGTGTCCTTAAGGGGTTAAAAATAAACTGAAATCCCAGACTGGTAAAAAAAACAAAAAACTGTAAAATGTTTTTCTATTTGCTTTTTTTGTGTATATTTTTTTTTTTTATATAATAAATGAGAAGTTGTATATGTTACAACAAAATAATTTTTCTTTAAAAAAACAGTATGTAATTTGTGTTGTTGCAATAAATGAGAAAGATGGAAATTGCGGTTGAACACATACATGGCAAAAATAAAATTGCTTTGGTTCCTATAAAGTTATAAATGTGTATATATATTATTGCTTCAATGCTTCCCTATGGGGATTTCACTTACGCTGGATGTCCTCATGCAGAGTTAGGCGACCAAAAGTCACTTAGCCACCAGGAAGTACATCTAGTGGCTGTCTGATTGACAACCACTAAAGGCAGTGTTAGTCCTGCAATGTATTTATTGCAGTTTCTCAAAAACCGCAAGGATATACATTGCAGGACTAAGTGCGACTGGTACAGTGCTCCGAGACCGGTGACTATAATGTCCCTCTTCAACCTATTGTTCCTGTAGCTTTTTGCAATTGTCTTACTTGTTAAATCTTTAAGGGGTTACATAGTTGTCTAGGTTGAAAAAAGGTCAATCACGTTTAACCCTTGAGCCTATTCTTTTATGTTGTTGATCCAAATGAAGGCAAGAAAAACCCAGTTGTAGTCGTTTCCAATAAAGTCACAGAGAGTGGGGAAAAGATCCTTATTGGCTCCATAATGACAATATTTATTTTTGGATCAACAACCTGTGTACATATTAATTACTTTATCCTTAAATATTCTATTTATGCAAAAAATAAATCCAAACACATCTTTATTGTTCTTACTGTAAAGAACTCTTTTCTCTGCTACAAGCGAAAACCCATTTCTTCCAGTCTCGATGGGTGACCTCTTGTCTGTTGTATATTCCTGCTAATGAACAGGTTAGCACATAGCGGTTTGTACTGTCTCTGTATACATATCCTCTATGTAGGACTGAAACGTCGATCTTTTTAACTTCATACTAATAAATTTTGGACTTTTAAATCAGAGAGTGCTGCATCCTTCTTGGATAAATGGATACTACTAGCCTTGGCATGCTAGCACCCGGTTATTAAGGGATTACAGCGTGAGTGCAAGAGCATTTTTAATTTTTCTTATATAGTGCTATCATATCCCCCTGAGGTGCCTTTTTTTCTTAAGAGAACACGTCCTGGTTTTCTAGCTTTTCCTCATAACTAATATTTTCCATTCCCCTTACTACTTGTGTAGTTCGCCTCAGCACTTTTTCTAGTTCTGCAATATCCTCTAAAATTGGTGCCTAAAATTGCACTGCATCTTCAAGATGGGGTCTTGCCATTGATTTGTAAAGAGGCAAAATTATATTTTGATAACTTGAATAAATCCTCCTTTTTAAACACAAAAGCACTTTACTAGCATTTCCAACAGCAGACTGGTATTGAATACTGTTGCCTAGTTTGTGATCTATAATTGTTCTTAGTCCTTCTCATTTGATGTTATCCCTAACTCTACCCCATTTTTGTATGTGTCTTGTGGGGTTCTTTCCAAAATACATGGCTTTACATTTATCTGTTGAATCTTATCTGCCATTTGCATGCCCAGTCCTCCAATTTATCCTAATCCCCTCTGTAGTGAAGTTATATCATGTTCAGACTGCGTTTTCTCATCTAGTTTTGTGTCATCTGCAAACACCGACAAATGATTTTCATTGTCCACTTCAAGATCATTTATAAACAGAAGTGGACCCAGGACAGAACACTGAGGCACTCCACTTCAAAATTTTCATTTACACTACTTTCTGCACTCTATCCAAGAACACATTTATTCATCTAAACCAACTAATTTCAGTTTTGCTTGTAATCTTTTGTGTGGAACTGTATAAAACGTCTTAGCAAATTCCAAGTTGATCACATCTACTGGGTCACCCTGATCTATATTTCCACTAACTTCTTTATAGAATGCAATTAAGTAAATTTGCCATGATTTGTCTTTCATAAAACCAGGTTGATTCCTGCTAACTATATTTTAGTTCAAAATAGATTTTTGAATATTATCCATTAACATCCTTTCCAATAATTTTCCAAACACAGATGTTAAGCTCACGGGTCTGTAGTTTCTGGATTGTGCCTTTGAACTCTTTTTAAATACAGGCAATACATCATCTTTCTCCTGAAAGATAAGAATCCTAAAAAAATTTAAAACAGTGTTATGGATATTTCTACACTAAGCTCCCTAGGCACACGTGGGTGAGTACCTGGCACCTGGCACCTGGCTTTATTTACATTAACTTTATTTAATTTCTGTAGCACTTTATCCTGTGTTAGGCAATCACATATTTGCTGTAAGAAATTTAAAACATGGATTTGCAAACCTACAGCCATAGCTTCTTCTTCCCTGTATATTGACGAAAACAAATTATTTAGAATTTCTGACTTGTCCTTATACTCCTTAATTAACGCACCCATCTCACCTTCCAATAGACCAGCACTTTCACTCTTAACCTTTTTTGGCATTAACATGCTTAAAACATTTTAAGGGGTTCGTCTTGCTCTTAGTTATGTATTTTTTTATTCTTTATTTTTGTGTGTAAAAGATTACAGGCGAGTTTTGATTGCCACAACAGCATTAACAATCAACACATTGTTTTATAGTTTGAAACAGTAATATGGAAATTGTAGGTAATGCACATTTTAAAATTATGATATGAGAGAACTGTTGAGTAGACGTGGTGTGAGTAGTAAGTAAATCAGAGTGTGCAAGCTAACATGTCTGCAGCTAAAGATAAGTTGAAACAGTAATGTTAGCATACTTTGAATTGGTAGCAGGCTTATCTCAACAGGATAACTAATGGCATGCTGCCATCAGGAGGCTTCAAGTAGGTTACTTGGTTAGATAGGGAGTAAGTGTGGAGGTGTAAGTGCCTAGTAGGTGAGTGGATGTCAGCCAGTAAATGGGTACTGGGACTTAGGCTGTATGTGTGAGAAGCAGCCAGAGTTATGGGGAATAATTCTACAGTCACCCGATACCAGCAGTTGGTAGATCAGAGTGCATGAATATACAGGAACACTTCAGGCTCTGGGACTCAGGTGAGAGTCGGGAGGTCTGATCAGAGACTGGGAGCAGGGCTCTCCACAACATCTCTGACTTGTTGCTAGGTTCAGGCTTGGTCTGCGGTGTGTGCGACCTCCGTGCTGCTTTCAGTGCAGGTGAGTTCCGCCGCTTGCATCTCAACCATTTTGGGGCCCTCACTACCAGTACTATTGTGAATACCCGTCGGAGCTTTGATGCCCGGAGACTGTGTGGAGGACCCTGCAGGTACGGTGGTGTCTGGCAAAGTAGTCTGCCCTCCAACTGCCGCCAGAATTTGTGAAAGTGTTCCCAAAGTCTGGACTCAAAGTCCGAGAGTAGGTCACTGATGCTAGGGGAACACGTGATCTCCGCCATTTTGCATGGATCGCAGAGGCGTTTGTTCATGTGGATGGCTTCCACTTGTGTGTCAGCTAGAGCTGGGCTGCCTCCCAGGGGTGGACCGGGATCACCCCCACCGGTCGAAAGGGGGGTGTGGGGGGAGAAAGGGGTTCCTGTCGACAAGCAGCTTCCCGTGCACACCCCCGAACCAGGAGATCGGCCACTTCTCCCGCCCGGGCAGCACCAGGCCGTATCCGTATAATGGAAGGTGGAAAGCTTCCTGCACTGTAAAACATGACAGGTAGGTCGGTAGGTAATAGCTTCTCAAGCTGTGTCTCAGTTGGAGCAGATTGTGCAGGTAGATTCGGTATTATGTTAGAGTAGTGGAGGAGCTCACCGGAGATGCGTCTTTTCTCCATGATTGTCAGGTCCCGCCCCCCCCCCTAGTTATGAACTTTTGATTTTCAAGTTTATCCCATCTAATCGCCCTCATTTGCTTATACTTGTTATAAAGTGCAGTCAGCCCCTCTGGTTTTGAAAGGTCCCTGGAGCCAGTTAACTTGTTATTTTTTTCTAGTAAAGATTAGTTTCTTCTTCACAGTAACTTTAGAATAACTTTATACTTTTTCACTTTCCAGGACAGTGTTTCTCTTTCCATTATTTTACAGAGAGGCAAGCATCTCACTTTTATGTTACAAGACTGCTGAAGCATTTTTCTTTTCTATTTTTTTTTAGCTATTTGATTTTGTAGATAATGCAGACCACCAGTTTTTAGGAAAACCAAAGTGTAAATATGTAGTACTGCAGTGGCCGTTTAAAGTGACTATCGGCTCCAAGACCACACATTTTAGCCATGCAATCAGTGGTGTATTTTGGATCTGTGCTGCTCTAGGGAGCAGGGCTCCCTGGATGTCTGGCACCCACTAGCTTACATTTGCCCCACCCCTACCTGTCAATGCCACTCCTCTTCCTGTTAAAGTCTAACACACACTTTGACTGACAGACACAAACTCTCAGATACACTGACACACACACACTGATTTGACACAATCTGACAGACACACACAATCACTGACTCACTCACAGACACACACTGACAGACACACACAATCACTGATATACACACACAATGACACACACTCACACCCGCTCACAGACACACACACCCACTCACAGACACACACACTGACAGACACAAACAATCACTCAGACACACAGGCGCCCTCACAGACACATACTATCACTCAGACACACAGGCTCCCTCACATACACACACTGACAGACATACTCTGACTCACAGACACAAACACTCACTCACACACACAATTACTCAGATACACACTGACAGACATACACTCACTCGCAGACACACACTGACAGACATACACAGTAACAGACATACACACACACTGACAGCAAGACACACACACACTGCCAACCTACCAGACATAGATACACACATTCTCCTCCCACCCCCCCAGAGTTGGGTGGATTTTTTTATCTGGGGTCCAGTGGGGCTGCTGGCCGGGCTGCTTGGGCAGGGACGGAGGCAGATGTGCAGGCAGTTTGGCGGCTAGCTGAATTCCAAGGCAGGCACGCCGCAGAGTAATTCTGGGAGCCGGAATATGACGCCAGCAGAGAGAACTCACAAATCAGCGCTCCCACGCCGCCCGCCTTGGAACTCAGCTAGCTGCCTGCCACCAGGCTAACAAGGTATTTGCCAGGACATTTGGGAGTTCGGCATTTTTTGCCGCCCCCTAGAAAGTGCCGCCCAAGGCAAATGCCTTGTTTGCCTCGCGGCAAATACATCACTTCATACAATGTAAAACTTTGCCATTTAGTAGATACATCAATGTTTCCATTGCAGAGCTAAATCTCTCCTGGTTCTCATATGGCAGCTACTAAAGCCTACAAGCTACTAGTCATCCTCAGCTCTCACAACGTACCTCCTCAAATGCTTCTTATACAGAACATTTGATTGG